TTTAGGGTCAAAACTCCAATAGTATCTATCAGGTCTTGCAGGGTTTAAGGTGTTGATCTTCAGTATGGCTGCACTCTCTTCTGGGTTAAAAACCTGTTCAACTAACCAATTGTTCCATTCAGAGCCATTACTTTGCAGCAGGTCTTTGACCCAGATTAAGTGTCCCCTTGCTATTGGAATCAGAGTAGGAATTGCTGTTTTCAGGTTAGGCACCCAGTTCATGTCATCGATTTTGGTTGTGATTCCATTTCTTATCTCTATTCTGACTCCTTTTGCAAAAGTAGGCATTAATGATAGCCAGCTATGCCAAAGCCATGAGCCTTTCTGAGTTCTTTCAGCTGTGAGCATGGAGCTGTTGGGGAAGTATCTATCTTTTAATATTCTGCTCACTAGAAGATCAGGGTTAGAGAAGATTCTCCACAGCTGTTTGCAAATTAGGGCCTCATTGAAAAGGCTAATATCATGGAATCCCAGCCCTCCCTTGGATTTTGGTATGGTTACTCTTTCCCATTTCCTCCAGTGCAATCCATTTCCTGTACTATCCCCAGATTTCCACCAAAATGCAGCACACAATCTTGAGATTTCTTTACTTATGCCCACAGGAAGTTTGAAGCAGGACATTGAAAAAGTAGGAAGTGCCTCTAAGACTGATTTTATTAAAACTTCCTTTCCAGCTGTTGACAGGAGGTTGCTTTTCCAGCCCTGCAGCTTATTCCTGATGGATGAGAGTATGTGGTCAAAAACTTCCTTCTTAGATCTTCCAATTCCCAATGGCAGCCCAAGGTACCTTGTTGATCTATGAGGAACTATGCCCTGAAGAATACCACAGATACTATCTCTCATGTGTTGGGGTGTATTCCTACTGAAGAAAATCCCAGATTTTTGCAAATTGACTTTTTGCCCTGTGAATAATTTATAGCTGTCCAGAAGATTTAACAGGTGATGAGCTTGGTCTTCTCCTGCTTTGCAAAATAGCAATGAGTCGTCTGCAAAAAGAAGGTGAGTAATTGCAGGACCATTGCTTGAAAGTTTGAGACCTTGCAGGTGGCCAAGGGATTGAGCATTGGATATCAAGGCAGAGAGAAGTTCAGCAGCAATGATGAAGAGGTAAGGGGACAGAGGGTCCCCTTGCCTTACACCTCTTGAGGGAGTTATGAATCCACTGATCTTGCCATTGACTTTGAAAGAAATAGTGGTTGTTGTAACACAAACCATGATCATTTTGACAAAATCTGTGTGAAATCCCATCCTTAGCATAATTTTCTGGATACAAGGCCACTCTAATCTGTCAAATGCTTTCATGAGGTCTAATTTGATAGACATGAAGAAATTTTTCCCTGTTGAGTGCCTATTTAAAAAGTGATAAGCTTCCTGAGCAATTATGATGTTATCCATGATCTGCCTTCCTTTTATAAATGCTGATTGATGAGTGCTGATGCAGCTCTGCAAACAGGTCATAAGTCGCTGAGCAAGGACTTTTGATAACACCTTGTAGATAACACAACAAAGGCTTATAGGTCTGAAATGAGATAGACTTTCTGGATGTGCAGTCTTTGGAATCAAAGAAAGGATGGTGTGATTCCAGTATCTCAAGATAGCACCTGTCTGGAAGAAGCTGAGAATGGCTTCAAATACATCCACTCTAGTCAGGTCCCAGAAGTGCTGGAAAAAGAGTGCATTCATTCCATCTTCTCCTGGAGACTTTTCAGGTGGCAGTGAAAATAATGCTGCTTTCACTTCCTCTTCAGTGACTGGCCTCAGTAAACTTTGATTCATGTCTGAAGTAATTGTCTGAGGTATAAGGTTGATTATGGACTCACTTACTCTGCTGCCCTCTGAAGTGAATAAATCTGAGTAGAATTCAGCTATGTGGTGTTGAATGTCCTCTGGAGTGGAAAGCACAGATCCTCTTGGGGTTATCAACCTGGAAATGGCATTGAGCTTCCTTTTCTGAAGTGTATATGCATGAAAGAACTTGGTATTTCTGTCCCCTTCCTGTAACCATTTCAGCTTTGATCTTTGTTGCCAGTGAAGCTCTTCTTGTCTGTGAACTTCATTTAACTGAGTCCTTGTTCTGCTCCACTGGTCCCAATAATCATCAGGTTTTCCTTCTCTCAGCACCTCAAGTTGTTTAGTGAGCACTTCAATGGTGTGCTGGTTATTGGTTTTAAATTGAGAACTCCAGGTAAGAAGAGCTGCTCTTGTGTTTTTAACTTTTTCCTTCAGTTTAAAGAAAGGTGTGCCTGAGGTGGGTTGATTCCAGGCTGATGTCACTGTTTCCAACAATCCTTCCATATTGAGCCATTTTTTTTCAAAGTGGAATCGAGCTGCTGAGTTTGAATGAGGTATTCCTTTGGAGAGAAGAAGCATTGAGTGATCTGATGCACTTCGCACTTTGTTAAGAGTCAGGGCATTTGGGTGAACAAGCAGCCAATCTGGTGAGGCAAATGCTCTATCCAGTTTTTCCTCAACCAATCCTTCTGCTTCTCTTAGGTTGCACCAAGTATATTTATATCCCTGCAATGGTAGTTCTTGCATTTCCATATTATAAATGAAGGAGTTAAATCCTAAGAGACTTCTATCACTCCTTGGAATGCCACCAGATTTATCTTCCTTTACACAAATATCATTCCAGTCCCCCAAAGCAAACCATTTATCACCCCAAGAAACTTTGTCAGTCATCATCTCATTCCATTGCTGAATTCTGGTTTGTTTGGAAGTGCTCAAGTAAACAAAAATTCCCCATTGAGAAGGGGCAGAGTCTAACTCAAATTCAACAGCAATATAAAAAGATTTTTGCATAATATTAAGAATGTTTACATTAGAATCCCACAGCAAAAGCAAACCCCCACTAAGACCCACAGGATCAACAAAAGAAAACCTATCTACATATCCCAACTTCCTAGCTACAGACTTGACAAAACCATTATTTTTTTTTGTTTGAGATAGAAAGAAAAAAGTGGGGTGGTGAGCCTTGATGGTCTCTCTGATTTGGGAAATTGTAGAGGACCCACCCAGCCCTCTACAATTCCACACCGCAGCTAACATGTGGAATTTGGGTGCCATTCGAGGCTGGCATCCTCCACCTTTTCTTGTGCACCTTTGATTTTTTTCCTGGATGAAGAGGCTAGAAGCTCATGATTGTGGACTGGAGATGAGGGGGAAGAGTCTTCTCTTATTCTCTTGTTACTGCAGTTATCTTGGATCACCAACATTTGGTCAGGGTCTTCTTTTCTTTGCAGCCTCCCTTCCCTGCTCAATGATCTCTTCCAAGTTTTCTGAAATTGAGTAGCTGGAGGTTTTGAAGGTTTGGAGTAGCTGTTCTGGATTTGGATAGGAACTGAGGGAGTTAGAACTGCCATTTCCATGTCCATTGATTTGTTCTGGGGTATTTCTTCTTGCTCTGTGTGGCTGAGGTGAGAGTGAGTTGCTGCAGCAATTTTTTCCATTGTGTTAGTTTGGGTTGCTGCTTCTTCTTGGACTGAATTTGAGGCTTCCTTGTCAGTTGGAGTTTCTGCTGACGATGAGAGTAGTTTCCATGAACTTGGACTATTTGCTTTCCTTTATCCCCCATATTAGATGTGTTTCTAGAAGGAGAAGATTGGTCAGGAACTGGTCCTGAGGACTGAGCATTCCTGGAGTGAGATAAACCAACTTCTATCCAGTTTTGTCCTTCCACTGCTTTTAACCAATCGCCATACTGTCCTTCTTTAACTGTTTTGGATTTGATTGCAGCTATTCTCCGAGAACAGCCTCTATCTAAATGCCCCAAAAAACCGCAGTAATAACACAGGTTGTGCAATTTTTCATATCTGAATCCCACACTTATTATTTGATCCTCCAGTTTAATATTGGTGCACCTCGGGAGAGGCTCAGTAATGTCCAATGAAACCAGAAGCCTAATAATTCTGCCGCCATGACTTCCTGAACTAGCTATAACAACATTTTGAACTGACTTGAAAATGTTCCCTATTTTCAATCCAACTTCAGTACTCAAGCAATTGATTGGGAGATTCCATACCTGAACCCACATGGTGATTTCTTGAAAAGCCGGGTGGTTGCTGTTCAATCCTTTCTCCCATTCTTTTAAGATTAAATGCTGGTTTTCAAAGCTCCAACTTATACCATCCCCAACCTTGCGCATATCCTCTCTGCTTTGAAATACGAATTGGAAGAAGTTATATCCCAGCTCTTTAACCTCCATTTGTTGCTGTAGTCTCCATATATGACTCATAGCTCTCTTGATTCCTATCCAACTTGCTTTGCGTTCTCCGATAACTTTCCCAAAGAGGCTCCTTTCACACTCATCGGCACATAGCTTGATATCTTCACGCTCAATGCCGGTAATCAAGCTTTCCTTTTCAGATAACGAGAAGCTCTTGATTCTGTCCGCAAGATCTTCGTCATGCCCTATACAACGCGGTTCGGCCATAAGTAGGGTTCCTAAACTTCTGCGAAACAAGAAATTATAAGGAAGATCTAGAATGGAATGAAAACTGTTGCTGAAATCACGATCTGAATGAAATAAGAACGAGAAATGCTCCCAACTGAGAGAATCGCCACACCGCTCTCAAACGAGAGAATCCGATAATTCTTTAGTATGATTTAAACATAGTTATTTTAATTATTTTATTAAACATTTTTAGTACTTCCGAATAGTGAATATAATTAATTAAATTAATAACTAAAACCATAGATGATAATATATATAAGCAAATCAATTATAACAATAAACATTGGTCCATTATATAGATAGAGATATAGATATTAAACTTATTTCCTTCCTATATTATATATTTTACAAGTCTTTTGGTATTTTTGGAACTCTAATGCTGCTTTATTTTCTATGGTATTTATTTATTTTTTTTAATCAAGACAATTAATGTGTTTTAGCCTAAACAACGCGCACCCACCCCTATAAATTTGCATGCTGCCTTTCTTCTCTCCAATTCCCTCACGCTTTGTGAACTAAAGTGAAATCCATACACTATCGAAAGAGAATGAGGAGACCCCAGACCCAGAGGAAATCGACGAATGCCGGAGCTATGATGCAAGGATCTAAATACAGCCTCGAGGTCCAGGAACTTGCTCGTTTCGCTGTCTCCTACCATAACGAGAAACAGGTTTTTTTTACTTACTTTTTGTATTTTTGTTTCTATATATTGATAAATTGTTATCAAAATCTTACTCCTTGATGACTTTTTTTCCGTGTACGGATTCCGATCTCTTGCTGTATGCATTTTTTTTTTTTGGGTACGAAAAAAGGAAAGTTTGTTTTTCGTTCTTAACAATTTTTGGGTATTTTTCCGGATCTGGGATTTTGCCCGATCTTGTATTAGCTTCCGGTTATCGAATACGTTTGTTGATGTTTTCGATGGAGTAACGTATTAGAAGAATCTCGTTGGCGTTTCATATTTTATCCCTGAATTTGGTAACCTCTTTTCAGAATCTATGGGTTGTTTTGAATTGAGCTCGGCAAAAGCTGAATTTGGTCATACATAGTGGGGTTTGCAAACACATCTTTTCGCGGAGTTGTAGTTCTTGAATTGAACTCAGCGCGATTTGAACAAAAGGAACTTATTACTTATTCAGAGTCTGAAAAGAAGCCCATAATTATATGGGTCTCCATATAATAATATGGCAATTGGGGTGGGAAAATAGAAACAGCTTTTCTTGCAATTATAGTTATTGCTACTTTTTTAATTTTTCACAAGAGGAGGCATGCAGCGGGTTGACCTGTCATACTTTGTTAACAAAGATGCATACGTGTAGCATACGAAATGACATACTTTTGTTTATGTTGTTTTTTAAGTATGACATCTCAGTTTGAGAGCATGCGTATAGGTTGAAAAACATATGGCTGTTTAAATACACGTTTTTTAGAGCCTACACACTCCTACAGTTTGGTTACTTACATGAAGATACGAATTGCTTAATGTCGTTATTGCTGGTGGTGTTTTTTCAGAATGCATCATTGGAATATAAGAAGGTAACGAATGTCGAGGTACAACCGGTGGCAGGGATATTGTACTACATAACGCTAGAGGCGGCAGATGGTGGTCAAAACAAGGTATACCAGGCCAGGGTGTGGATCCAGCCATGGATGAAATTTAAGTCGGTTCAGGAATTTAAGTATGTTGGTGACGCCTGAGAAATTTTCGCTTCTTGCTAATGATCAGAGTAAAGAAACCAAATAAAAGTAGTGTATTTAATTTGGATTCTCTGAAATTTGAGGCGAGTGAACCGTGAGAGGATATGGGGATGGACCTAGTTTCGTCTTCCCTGAATCTGTTCTTGAGACCTCAAATTCAATAATTTTAGGCTTGTAGGAAAACGATCTTATCTCAGCAAGGCTTCCATTTGGACAATTATGTAAAGTCAGTCTCTTTGTTTGGTTATGATGCATTATAATATACAGTACATGATGCTTTTTGGAATGTGATGTTTATAAGTTTATATTTGTGGTTGTTTCTTCGTAATCCTGTCTTGTGTTATTTCATTTACGTTTGAAGATATGACTTGACCAAGTGGAGTCTAGACATGAAGTGGGAAAAGATATTGCTGATGGAGAAGTAGTACACATGAAGAAAGCTCTCATATGCTGGTTATATTTAGCTTCTCTACAAATTTTTATGAGGCGGACTTGACCTGTCATACATTTCGACCAAAAATGTGTACTAATTTTATGAAATATTATATTTGTGTTTATGTAATTTATTGAGTATAATATTTCTATTTTTATATTTGTGTTTATGTAATTTATTGAGTATAATATTTCTATTTGAAAGTACGTATATCCATGAGCATGGCATTACAATGTGAATGCAGTTGAAAATTTGTCTCATATTTTAAATCTTTTTTAGACTTTATTTTAAATATAATTCTTTATATTTCTCACATCTCATCTATTATGGAAATAAAATAAATACAAACAATGAAAAATATATAATATTAAACACTTCTCTTTATACAATATTTTTTTATTTAAGGAATATTATTAAACCTTGCGGTTTTTTTTTTTAAATCAATTATTCAACATATGATTGTTAATGTACAAAAAAATGGAAAGAATCCAGATTTTAAAGTAAAGCTATTTTTTATTTTTTACAAATCAAAATCATCCAATTTTTTTTAATTTAAAAAAAATAAATTGGTAAGTTTGTTAATAAGATGAATCAAGTTATACAAATGATTAATTAGTTAAACTATTATATTAATTATATTTTAATAAAATTTGATTATATAAATGTGGATAAAAAAAATATTATACTAATTAGTTTGTTAGGAATGTGATTATATGGAAGTTAAGATAAAATGAAATGTAACCAAAAAATCTGTTCGTGGTCTTTTTCTTTAAATGTTTGAATTTAAAAATCTAATAACCAAATTTAGATTATATCACATAAGGAAAAAATAAATAATAATGTTTATGAATATATTTAAAAATTTAATTTTGAATTTCAAATAGAGTAAAAGATGAAATAATTTAAATTTTTTTTCAAAAGGTTTTTAAAGTGTTTAAATTCTGGTAAGTATACCCGTAAGAATAATCTTACTATTTTAACTTCAAAAATTTTGGCAAGTTTGTTAATGAGATAAATTCGGTTAGACAAAAGATTAATTAGTTAAAATATTATATTAATTATATTTTGAAAATTCCGGTTAGATAAATGTAATTATATTAATTAGTTTGTTAGGAATGCGATTATTGGAAATTAAGATAAAACTAAATGTACTCAAAAAATCTGCTTGTGATCTTTCTCTTTGAATGTTTGAATTTAATAATCTTATAACCAAATTTAGATTATATCACGTAAGAGAAAAAAAAAATAAACATTTATTAAAGAGATAAATCTTTTCTTTCCCGATTATGTATTTGCGAAAGTGGAAGACATTAGGCCGTGCGCCAACAAATCATTGTAACAGGCGTGTATAGCATCATAATCATGAGATACATTGAACACAAGATCAGTAATGCTATACACGTCTTGGGGTAACGGAACTCCTGCCTTGTCGAAAAGGAAGTCGCGCTTCTGATCGATTCCTTCCATCAGTGCGTCAGAAGCTATATCTTCAATGATGTCAATGGCTATATGTTTAGGTTGAGCTGAAAGATAATCATAATGGATACGGGATAGGGTTCTAAATGCCATTTGGTCTGTTAGGCCTAAGCCGAAAAAAACAAATGCAGTTATTTCAGGTCAACTTATAGGAAAAGTTGGATCCAAGTAAATCATAACATTCGCTGCCCACTTGCTTCTATCGCTCCTTGTTCGCGGAGCGGCACACTTAGATAATAAATAATAAACATTTACACGTGAGAAAAAAATAAATAATAATATATTTTAAAATATAACTTAGAATTTCAAATAAAGTAAAAGGAGAGATAACTCATTTTTTAAGAAAAAGTTTCTAAATGTTTAATATATTGGTAAGTATTTACGTAAGAATAATCATACCATTCTAATTTCAAAAACAATGGCAAGTTTGTTAGAGAGATAATTCGAGTTAGATAAATGATTAATTATTTAAGATATTATATTAATTATATCATAAAAATCAGTTAGACAATGTAGATAAAAAATATAATATTAACTACTTTATTAGGAATGTGATTATATGAAATCAAAATAAAATAAAATTTATCCAAAAAATCTGCTTGTCATCTTTTCCTTTAATTGTTTGAATTTAAAAATGTAATAACCAAATTTAGATTATATCAGGTCAGAAAAAAATAAATAATAAACATTTATAAAAGAGATAAATCAATAATATTTATCACTTAGATAATAAATAATAAATATTTACACGTAAAAAAAGTAATAGTATATTTAAAAATATAACTTAGAATTTCAAATAATGTAAAAGGAGAGATAACTCATTTTAAAAAAGTTTCTAAATGTTTAATATATTGGTAAGTATCTCCGTAAGAATAATCTTAACATTTTAAGTTAAAAAAAAAAATTGGCAAGTTTGTTAGAGAGATAAATTAGGTTAGATAAATGATTAATTAGTTAAGATATTATATTAATTACATCATAAAACAATCGGTTAGATAATGTAGATAAAAAAATATAATATTAATTAATTTGTTAGGAATGTGATTATATGAAAATCAAGATAAAATGAAATTTACCCAAAAAAATCTATTTAGGATCTTTTTCTTTTAATGTTTGAATTTAAAAATTTGATACATAATTTAGATTATATCACATAAGACATTTATTAATATACTAAAATATGTAATTTTGAATTTCATATAAAGTAAAAGGTATGATAATTCAAATCTATTTTTAAAAATTTTCTAAAATAATTAATATTTTAGTAATTATATCCGTAAGAATAATCGTATAATTAGTTAAATAAAATATTATATTAATTATATCATAAAATACCTGATTAGATAATTTGGATAAAAAATATTATATTAATTAGTTGTTAGGAATGTGTTTATATGGAAGTTAAGGTAAAATGGAATGTATCTAAAAAATATGTGTGTTCTTTCCTTCAAATGTTGGAATCTAATTTTTTTCAAAAAAATTCAAAAAATTGGAATAAGAATCATGGGCGGGATTCTCCCAAAATTTCAAAAAAAAAATTCCTTTATTCGTANTCCTTTAATGGTAAAAAAACGAAAAAAATGACCGGGAAACTTACATATTAGTTTTGTATTTTTTTCTTCTCTCTATTATATAGTAATAGATTGGTAATTAAGATAATACAAAGCTTGTTTTAGATCATTCTTTTGTTCTTGGTAATTAAGATACTACAAAAGCTAAGGTGAATCAAACAATTAGGTAATCATACTTTTTAACATACGCATTTTATTGCAGAAATGTTACTTAAAAAAACAATATTTATGTATCTATATCCCCCCATATATAATTGCAAAATTTGTTGAGCCTAAGTGGAATACTCTCATGCTTCGAAATTTTATGTGTCAAATTTTTATGCTTTGTCATTTGGCTTAGATGAATTTTAGAAAAAATTTCAATTCAAGTTTTCTGACAATCAGAATATCCGATTTTCGATTGGGAGGTGTCATTTGAAAGCTAGTAGGACCAATTTTTCTAACACATAAATCTTATGAAAATCCAACGGTCGGATTTTGATCAGTATTTAGAAAACTATTGATCAATAGTTAGCTTTTTTTAGGCTACTAACCAAAATCCGACCGTTGGATTTTCATAAGATTTATATTGATAGAAAACTCGTCCTTCAAGCTTTCAAATGACACATCTCAATCGAAAATCGGATATCTTGATTATCAAAAAACTTGAATTGAAATTTTTTTCTATACACACGTGCTCCTGTTATCTTCGTGGATCGATTTTAGAGGTACCAATTTTCAGAAATCGACAAATCATACCTCATTTTGTTCGTCTCGCCATGGGCTTTAAAAGCCCTAATCAATTTTAAAGATTAATTTTAAAATTCATCATTAATTGAGTTAAAAACTCTTTTGTACCATATTAAGATTTTCAATCAAGGTGACAAACTGTCAATTTCGATTACATTGGGAGGTAAATTGTCAAAAAAAAAAAAAAGTTTATATGGCAAAATAAAAAAAAAGACATACTTTGGGAGGTTAAAATTTTTTTTCCCTAATATATCTATTTGGAAGTCTTTTGGTATTTTTGGAACTCTGTTTTTATTTTTTATTTTTTAAAATAATCAAGGAGTTATGAACTCCTATAAATTTGCTTGCTGCCTTTTTCTCTATATTTCCCTCACGCTCTGAACTAAACTGAAATCCATACACAATCGAGAGAGAATGAGGGTTCGCCAGACCGAGAGGAAATCGACGAGTGCCGGAGGTATTCACCCCTGGCCAGGATCTGAAAACAGCCTCATGATCCGGGAACTTGCTCGTTTCGCTGTCGCTCACCATAACGAGAAACAGGTTTTTATTTATTTATTTATTTATTTTCTATTTTTTTGTTTCTATATATCCTTCATCGTCGTAGTAATTGTGTTTGTTTGTTTGTTCAAATCGTTATCAAAATCTTACTCCTTCATGACATTTTTCCGTCTAAGGATTCCGATCTCGTGCTGTATGCATTTTTTTTGTTGATATTATTCTTCACAATTTTTGGGTATTTTTTCGGATCTGAGATTTTGCCCAATCTTGTATTAACTTCCGGCTACCGAATACGTTTGTTGATGTTTTTCGCTGGAGTAACGTATTAGAAGAATCTCATTGGCGTTTCATATTTTATCCCTAAATGTGGTAACCTCTTCTCAGAATCTATGGGTTGTTTTGAATTGAGCTCGGCAAAAGCTGAATTTGGTCATACATAGTGGGGTTTGCAAACACATCTTTTCGCGGAGTTGTAGTTCTTGAATTGAACTCAGCGCGATTTGAACAAAGCGGATTGACCTGTCATACTTGGTTAACAAAGATCCATACGTATAGCATACGAAATGACATACTTTTTTTTATTTTGTTTTGCAAGTACGACATGTCAGTTTGATAGCATGCATATATGTTGAAAATCATATTAAATGTACTTGTTTTGGAGTCTACACACTCTACTCTTTGGTTACTTACATGAAGATACAAATTGTTATTGCTGGTGTTGTTTTTCAGAATTCATCATTGGAATATAAGAAGGTAACGAATGTCAAGCGAGGTTTGGTGGCCGGGTGGTTGTACTACATAACGCTGGAGGCGGCGGAAGGTGGTCAGAACAAGCTATACAGGGCCAAGGTGTGGGTCCAGTCATGGACGAAATTTAAGTCACTTGAGAAATTTAAGTCACTTGAGAAATTTAAGTATGTTGGTGACGCCTGAGAAAGTTTCGCTTCTTGCTGATGATCAAAGTAAATAAAACCAATAAACGTAGTGTATTTAATTTGGATTCTCTGAAATTTGAGACGAGTGACCCGTGAGAGATATGGGGATGGACCAGGTTTCGTCTTCTCCCTGAATCTGTTATTGAGACCTCAAATTCACTCATTTTATGCTTTTCGGAAAACGATCTGATCTTAGCAGGGCTTTCATTTGGACAATTATGTAATGTTAGTCTCTTTGTTCGGTTATGATGCATTGTAATTTATAATGCACACTACATGCTGCTTTTTGGGATGTGATGTTTATAAGTTTATATTTGTGGTTGTTACTTCAATCTTGTCCTGTGTTATTTCATTTACGTTTGAGTATAATATTTCTATTTGAAAGTATGTATATCCATGAGTATGGCATTACAATTTGAATGCCGTTGAAAAATTGGTAGCTTTACTACTAGCTCTCACGTTAGCTTGTATTAGATCATTCTTTTGTTTTTTAAACACTGGTAATTAAGATACTACAAAGCTTGTCTTAGAATATTTTTTTGTTCTTGTCAATTAAGATACTACAAACTTGAATCAAACAATTAGGTAATCATACTTTTTAATATACGCATTTTATTGCGAAAATGTTACTTAAAAAAAATTATTTNATTCGAATTCAAATATAAAAAAAACATAATTGTTATTTGATAAAGATAGTGTGTAAAACTTAATTTCTAAATGGGCAGTGATTTCTGTGGATATTTGAGTTTTGGCATTAAATCGAAGAACTCTAAAAAGAAGTGATTAACCTTCATCAGATAAATCTGCGAACAGGAATATTTAAGGGAAGTATGCTTTACATTATTTTGAACTAATTCCCTAATACTAGTTCATGAAAATTAACCAATAATTTTATTTGTGCAGGACTAACAAAGGGGATTTCAAATGTACTTTCCTTATTACAAAGATTCGGCCACATGAAAAAGACTTTCCATAATTGAAAGCGATAGAATCAATCAAGAGAACTTCCCTATTGAAACGTGGCTTGGCAGCGAAGAATTCTTGAACTTACCATATTTGAGAAGGAGATAGAAGTGCTCGGACTGTGATGAAGAAAGGTGTTTGAAAATTTAACTTTTTCTTACTTCTTGATAATCATCGAGTGTTTAAGTTTCTTTTAGAGAGCTGTTCAAAAAGTTTTGATCAATCACGTTTGAGAGATTAATTTATTTTTATTGAACTAAGTGTACGGGAGGATCACTTAGTATAGTTTGAGGGATTCAAACTAGAAAAACCACAAGGGAGTTGTGGTCGGATAAGTAGTTGTGTAGATCCGCCCTCCCGTGACTGACTTTTTTTCCTGCACTCTTTCCAGACCAGGAGACGTTATCGTTGTGTTACTGGCAGCTATTGCCAACTTTTTCTTGTTTTATTTTTCGTTTCTAGTTTTGCTTTTCGTTTGACTTGTTGTAGTTCAGATAGTGGACTTGTAGACCTGTGACTTTTCAGCCCATTTAGAGCCATTATATATACAGGTTGGGGGTCTGGTCTAACCCCTCAGGCTCCTTAGTGTTTTCTTTTAAAAACGATAAAAAAAAGTAGTTGTGTAGATAGGTTACTTCAAGTATAGTGTAGAGGGAGTCTACATTGTAAACCTCTGAGTAATTTCTCTGAGATCTACATTAATGAAAGATATCTGAGGGGAGAGTGGGATGCTCTTCTGAAGGTTCATTTCAAAGTATTTTTGCTTCCGCAATTGTGTGAACTTTCTTAAGTTTACTGCTTTATTTGTCCAGCGCTATTCTGGTTGTTTGTGTATATCGTTGAACAACTTCAATTTTCTTAAATGTTACGGGTAAATATGGCCAATAATGAGAAAGAATATTGATAATCTTGCTTCAGAAAAATCCAGTCAATCACTTCCTTAAGTTTTTCCGGTCAAACGTGTCAATTTTGTTACAGAAATCCAGTCAATCAATAATAATAATAATAACAATTATAATAATAATAATAAAATAATACGAATATCAATAATTTGCATATTTAATGACCATAATAGTTGTAATTATTTATTTATTTTCATATATATATATATATATATTGTCATTATTTATTTAATATACTTTATATTTATTTATGAGATGTGCATATTGATTGTTTAATACATATCTATACTTATATAAAAGGAGATTCTATTTACTACATTTACTATCCAGAAAAGTTAACTGCATTAAATGTCATTACTATTTTGATATTATAATATTTTATTTATTTAATTGATTTATTTATTTATTTTATTTTAAAAAGGTAAGTATTATAAAAAGATTTTAATAATAAAAAAATCAAATACCAAATAAAAATGTACACTTTGACTTATTTGATTATATTTGGTATTTGATTATACCAAATATATTCCTATTTAGTATATACATTAAATATTTACTAAAGTATTTATTTGTTTTATTTGTCAAAGTTAAGTATAAATTTGTTTATATTATCAAATCATAAAACAAATAAATATATCTTGTGTTTCGCACGGGTATTTGAACATTGTACAATTTTCTTGCGTATTATAAACTTTTATTGAATATTGCATCTTATAATATAATATTCTCCAAATAAATATATCTCGTGCTTCGCACAGTCACGTACTATATATCCCGTACATTTTTATTTATTCATGTATATAATTATAAGTCTGAATAAATAGCCTTAAAATTGTGCACCCCGTGCATCGCACGGACTACGTACTAGTTGCTATTATATAGTAATATTAATTATATATACTACCAACAACAATAGATTAATTATCACTAGATAATCAATTTAAATTATGTAACAGTGTATAAATATTTTACCAAATATACACAATGTTTTTTTTAGAATTTTAATTTTGTATATTAATTAAACAACTTTCCTTTAACTAATGCCAAAAACTCAATCTCTTCTATAATCAAGAGATTTTTCTAATTTGCATCATAACACTTTATAGTTTATTTAGCATATTTTGTAATAAACATATTTTAATGATAAAAAAAATTTAAACATAGTTGATAATAATAAGAAATAAATTCTAAATACCAGTTAATATATTTCAATTTTATTTTTTGACCATTAATAAAACTATTTAATGTATTTGATCATAATCACTTAAATGGTAAATTATATTAATTTGAATTTTTTTTTTTTTTTTAATAAATTCTCTCCTCTGAGAGCAACTCCGGCGATTATCTTCTGTGAGATCGGTGGGATCTTCAGATTCAGGCTATCCCTTTCTAAGGGGTTCATTATGGCAGACCGTACTTGTTTGGGAAGAGATGAGGAATTGGTAAATCGATTGCAAGGGTTCTCTCTGTCTGATAGAGAGAATTAGTAGTAGATATAGCAACAGATGACATTCGACTGAGTGCGGAGGAATGCCACCGAAGTTTGTTTGAAGTGGTAGTAGGGGATCGTAAAGCAAGCTGGATTGGGATTAAGCGCACTATGAGCAATATATGAAAGTTGCAGCAATCAATGGAAGTGAAAGAGCTAGGGCATAACTTTTTCCAATTTCTGTTTCAAAACCGCGAAGATGTAAAGAAAGTGGCTAGCGAGATTAGTCGTACCCGGATCGATTAGTCGTGCTTTATCTTTATCGTTGACGACCTATATTCGAGACGCGATCGAGACGAATCAACCAAGGAGGCTTCGAGGTGAGAAAGCCCATCGTGAAAATCTTAGCAGCGTAGAAAATAAGCTCGTTTAGGACTGTCGGCACGATTAGCTACTGGTGAGAGAGCTGACGTGACGGTCGGCACTGTTAGTCGAAAGGGCCATGCGAGCTGATCATTTTCATTGCTCGGCAATGACCACTGTGTTGGGGATGAATTCCTAGCTGAGGATGCTGATATTCGTTTTCTTTCGATATGATGATTTGGAAGCCCTGAACCATTCGAGATTGTCGATACCTAAATGTTGGGGGATAATGTCCTTGTTGAACCTTAATGTTTCTTGGTTTTGTGAAAACCTTTCCTTCCGGTCTACCTCAGATAGTGTGAATCCTGAATTAGAGTAATTCTTTTCTGTACCTCGAACCGAACGCCGACGCTGACTGGGTGTAGTCACGCGAAGTGGTGGTCGAGCATGCGATCCCGTGCTGAGAGACGTGAGGCACTGCAGGGCCGATCGTTGACTAGCACGAGAGCTGCAGCCACCATCACCAACGCATGAGCCAGTGTGTGGCCGAAACCTTGACCTTGCAGCTGTTCTCTGAACAGATGTAGGCACACGTCCCAGCGCCCCGCTTATGTAGCGCCAGTGTGTATGACATCTCTCGGGTGACAGTGCATTAAACCTCGGACTGGCTATGTCTTTTAAGGATCGTTATAATGGGATCGTCGAGCATCCCTATTTGAGAGTCAGTTTCTGCGATAGAAATTGTTTTCGAATATCTAATCGATACTTCCTATACCGCATACGAGCTGTTACTCGTGTCGGCAGGGAATGAGACTTTGTCATCGATATCGAGCAGAACCGTGGCTTCTGTAGGTATCAGTGTTGAGTTTGTGGTGGTGTTGTTGCTTGTTAGCCTTTTGTCAGAGATCCCGTGGCGGCCCGTTTGATACGGACGCACGGATCACTTTGGGATCGTGGGCAAGTTGTCAACGTGACCCGGGCACGAGACTGAACTTGGCACCGCGTAGAAATCCCGATAGTTATGCGTTTAGGACATGCTGTCGAGACCCTGAGAGACTGGTTTTGAGTCTAGTGTACTCGATGGGTGTCGTGTGGAATTTCTTACCATAAGAAAGTGCGCTTATAGCAATGGCTATGAGTGACGATCTTGATGGTACCGTACGAGGTTCTGAGTACGGAATGAGGCGTTGTACGCCTCGAGTTCTGGGAAGAGAGGAAGTATCAGCCACATTTGTTGGTCCTTTCGTGATTCTCGACCGAGTAGGCGTCTTAGCCTGACGGTTGACCCCGTCACCGGAGCTTGCAAGAGTGCACGACCTGTTCAGTACCTAATGGAGAGGGGATAGGTGCGCGACTCTAGGCACGAGGCGATCTTTGACGAGCTGCATGTGGGCAGGACCTTACCTTTGATGAGGTACCGGTGACCTACTGGATTGACGAATCCAACAGGGAGAGTCCGGAATAGGTACTCGTCAAAGTCCGGCAGGGTAACCATGGCTAGTACGGTGTGACTTGGTAGAGTGGGAAGATTCGGACTGAGTATC